ACTAAATATCTTCAGTCAAGATAAAAGGAAACTGGGAGGAACTTTGAGATGAGTATGAAAAGGAGTATGGACCGGGGGACAGAAAAATATTGGAACAATCTTTTGTCCTTTTTTAGAGAACGTACTTTGTCTGCACAAGCCTTGAAAAGTACAAACTAAAAAAACTACAGTGTAAAGGACAATAGTAACCTGCCGGTTACATAAAATATATTTTAGACTGTTCGCAGTTTTCTTTTACTTCTAAAGCTCTGTGACCACTATGCATTTAATGGGATAACATAAAAAATATGATTGTATGGTCCTGAATAGCTTTTCAAGTATTCAGTGGCTTCATGTTGTCATTTTTAAGGTATTACTTTGATGAAAGAACAAACATGAACAAAATGTTCAGTATTGATCAATATAATGGAACCATTACCATTGCAAAACCCTTGGATCGGGAGACAGCTCATTGGCACAATTTAACTGTTTCTGCCAGAGAGACACGTAAGTGTACAGTCTAATAACAAAAACTTTGGTATTTAAATAAATATATTGTGTTTAGTATATCTGCATATGCGCTTACTGTGATATTAGCATGTGATATAAAATACAAATTGTTCTTCTTTTAACAAAACAACTAAAGAGAAAACTATTTAAATGCAGATCAGCAAGCTACATATTTAGTTTTAGATTAATAAAAGTATATGAAATGGCATTTAAATAAAAAAGCAATAAACACTACTACAGCAGTTATCTGCCCTTAAGTATCTCACATACAGCATTTTACTAAATTGTACATTCAGTACAGCTTCTGCCTTCCTTAGTCATATTCAGACAAGCAATGATTTCATAAGAATTAATCTTTCATGTTCAATTGAGCAAGAGTTTAAGTAACTGAAAATACTAAATCATATGCTGTAATTCACAGTATTTTGACATTTCCATTGGTTTAAAGAAAGATGTACTGTCGCTTCATCTGAAAAGTTAAAAAGCTCTGAGAGCTAAGCTGTCAGACATTCATTTATACTAAACCAATGGAATCCTTGACTATGATTTCAAATATCACATTACTAATTTTGATGTCTCTCTTTTCCAGGAGAAAATTATTTATTTTCTAAAGCGCAGATAACCATACAGGTTATGGATGTTAATGATAATGCCCCACAATTCTCCAAACAGTATACACCTTATGTATGTGAAGGAACACAATCGGGAGAGGTAAGCATTTTTCATTCGCATACGTTTAAGATGATGCAAAGTATCCAGAGGAAGATTTCTTCCTATTTTCTGCTGTTACATTGTATGTCTAGTACAATTTTTATTGAAACTTTTTAGTTTTACAAGGTGCAAAGAACAAAAAACAATGGCAATGTTCAAATCATTATTTCATTGTGCAATATAATGTATTTCTTTTTGACTAAGGTATTCATGTGGCTTGAATGGAATGTTTGAATTGTACAGTATAAGCCAACTA